CCCCACGCTAACATCAGGGCCAACACGAGTCATTAATATAAGTTGAAACAACTTGTTTCATAATTGTTGTAAAACAAATAAATAAATAGAAGTTTATATTTATATAAATATATTTTGTCTTTATTTCATGCTATGATAATCTTCATTTAAAAAACGGAAATGGCAAGCGTGATATAATTGAATTATTTTCTGTATGTGCATCCTCGATAGGTTCGTTTTGTTTTATTAGAAATATTGAAGGATATATCAGGTGACATGGGGTAACTAAAGACAAAAATGAAGAAAGGTAGATAATATTTTGAAAATGAAGTGATAGTATCCTTAATTTGGTTAGTTCATAGTCTCATTGACGCTTAATCGGGATTAGCAATGCTGAAGCTTCTATACGACTCTGACCGTGACTTTCGTCTGCCATTTTGGTTACGAAAACAAGGGCATGAGACTTGTACCCTGAAGATGGCAAGCCTCTGTAGAATATCAACATCGCGAATCGTTGCAGGTGAGAACGAAATATATTTTATTTGCCAAAGTTTGCCGTTTGTTCAAAGCATTGTCTCTAATTCGGTCGTTTCTCGAAATACACCGCAAAAACACTCATATTTATAAGACTTTCTGTGTTGACTGAGTTACAGTACAGCTGGATTGCTCACGACAGTTCAATAAAGAAGGCCTATATGCAACCAAACTTGAGATTTTCAAAAATTCACATTATATGATAACATCAGAAAAGAACAAACATATGAATGTGAAGTTTGTGTGAAATAGCTTATAGATTAATTGATAAACTGAAATAACTTGACCTATAGGCCTATGTGTTGCTGAACTGGGAGGTTATATAATCAAGGAATCTGATCATACAAATACGAAAACTATTTATCTACGTGTTCAGTTAACATGAATAAAAATACAAATTAATTCATATAATTTTTCTTGTCTGTCATGCGTTATAGATCATTATTTGTCAAGTCATAGAAGTAGTTATTGCACGTTAAAAATAAATAAGATTATTTCTAGATCCAAGTTCTAAATTAAATCAAACATCTCTGACAAGTAGGTATGTATCTTGGGCTACACTGAATCCATTTGTCGTGATCACATTATTTTTAGTTTGACTGGGTTTCCCGTGCATTTGAATTATCACCATTGTGATAACAGTGTTTGAAACACCTAAATTATATATTACTGTAACTACACAAGCAGTCACTGATAGTCTTGTTATTATAAGCTTGTTTATTTCATTATCCTGGCCAATTACTTATGTCAGTGGCTCAATGAAGACATGTTTTACCATGCAGAATTAAAAATTATCTCAAGTTTTAGGCTACAAAAGGGGTTATAGAATTAATTTTACTATGATGGATTATAGTCTGATCATGATTGAGGTCATATTGTCAGGAGATTTCCCTGTCAAAAATGGGAGAAACGGGAGAAATCTGTTTTGATGCTGGAAACTGGGAGACTCCCTATTATATTGGGATACATCACATGTATGGGATAATAATTATTATCACAAGGCCTTAAATTGCTGAAAACCACTAGTGTTTTTGACAGATATATATTAACCCTGTAAGGATACGATGGTATCTTCAAATACACGGTTTGGGAGCTGATGTTTCAAGTAAGGTAATTAAAGCAGAAAGTGATAAGCATTGTTAATTTATATATGTGTATCACTTAATTTTGTTTCAGCTCTACCGAGAATCTTGCAACTGCCAGGAACATCTGTGAGAACCAACACTACAGAAGCAAAACCGGAAAAGGTACTTTCCACATTTTCTAATCCAGTACATATGTATTCTGGTATCATTAGATGGCTGGTCAGAACTGTCAAATGTATATATATATCATATTTATCTTGCTATAAGTACATGATAATAAACTTTACCCTTATCCATTGCTATTTAGTAGCAATGTCAATAAAAAAGTCTTTATTTAATCTAATACGCCCACCCCCAACTACTATCATATGTAGATAACATAAATGGTACAAATATGTTACAACTGACTAGTGCTGGGAATCGGTCCGATTTTGAAGATCGATTATCGGACATTCAAGATCGATCGGTAATCGATTATCAGTTTAAATAAGCGCCAAAAAGATAACATCTAATAAATTTACATTTCTCCAATCATTAAAAAATATTGATATAACTACGTGTTATTTTGCTAATAAGTTTATCTAAGAGACGGTCAAATGGTTAGAAAAGGTACTTCAGATATTGGCAATGACCGGTAGATTACCGTTTTAGAAGTGAACGTATGTTTTACCTATAAGCTATCTCCTGCAGACGAGTCATGATGATAGCGATCGTAACACAAACAAATCAGGTTATGCATTTTGTGTTAAGTAATTGATATGACATTTAAATTTACTATTGTGAATTAAGTTAACCCATCTGAAATTGAGTTGGTACTGTAAAGTTTATACCCCATCATCCCTTAGGTGGAAAAGAAAGTGTTTTTATTCCTGTGGCCGCCATTTGCTGTACTTCCAAATTTCTTCAGTTATAAATTTAGCCGTACCTACAAATCACCACACTGACCTTGATAACGTAATGATGCTATAGCTACCATGCTTGAATGCCTGCATGATTCAAGCGGGAATCAACAAGAACGAGTGAAAGGGGCGTTTTATTTTGGATTAAACATGAAAAGCAACTGTATATATATCTTAAGAATTTCAGTTCTTCATGACCAACCTACAAAAACGATCTTCTTAATTAATGACAATGTTTCAAAATCAATCTTTCATGTGCTAAATCGATTATCGAATTGACCTCATGTCAAGTTCGATTTAATCGATGTTTTCGGATATCGGTACGCCACTACAACTGACATATGCAATGCATATCTATTAGATATGAGAAATAAATACATGTATATATTCATATATCACATATATATATGTATGTTCAGTTACTTCCAGACTGTGTTTAATATTCCCTCTTTTTCTTCAGACAAAATATGGTCCCTTGAAAGATGAAGACAGAATTTTTACAAATTTATATGGCAGACATGACTGGGGCATCAAGGGAGCTATGGGACGGGTAAGTTGATGATCCTGCAAGTCTGGATCAAGGTTTTTCCCAACAGAGTATGAATCATATATGACTTGGTGATTAAATGAACTTACCACAGAGTTTTTCTCGCATGGAGGTATGGGATGGTAAGGTGTTATGTTTGATTGTCAATGAGCTTATTAGATCAGAGTTTAACCGAAAGGAGCTATATGTTGAACTCTTAACTTTATAAGCAACAAATTTGCACGAATATACGGTAAACCTCTGGTTAGTTCTAACAAAATTAAACAAATATTGTCAATCCTGTTCTATTTGCACAAAATTATAGCCGCTACAATATAGAGTAGTTTTTTACTATCCGAGTCGACATCAGAAAAAATCATGTTGTTGATACTGAACAACGACGGCCTTATTTGCAAGTCTAGAGATGAATAATGGTATTCATATCTTTCTTATATTTACTTGCATATTAATAATCAATTATTAAGTTCAATTGCAAAGCAGAGACAAGTATGTAGGCCGCAAAGCAGTAGATGTTTTCTCGAGTAATGACGAAAGTTCAGTTGTACTGATCTGAACGCGGAGGGTGGATTGAAACTGTAATTACTGATTAATAGTTTGATCGAACACCTGGTCAGATATTTTCGTTTTGGCACATGTATAGGTAATATATCAATTGAGTTATAAATCAGTGATCAATGGCCAGGTCGCGATTGTATAATCAAATTGTAATCACAGGAATATCTGTGATTATCATGACAATACACACGTCTGTCAGCGATGTGACAGTTACATTCCGCGCTTCTAGCACTGTTAGGATATTATACATGGTCGGGGCCTTAAGATGGCGCTTGCACATGTTAACAAGAAAGACACTCAATTATCGGTGACATGTGTCTTATTTATACATGTACAAATTGTCTGACATTGATGACAACAATGGTCGCACAGAAGTACTATATCCATTATTCGGAAGTTAAAAACGCTGTCGATGCGCAAAGAGATCAAGTTTAAGCTATTATTGCATCGCCGATAGCCAACATCGATTAATAATTATGTAATTTCAGTACTCAAATTGTGTGTTTGAACAATCCGAAACGTGTGTAAGCAGGGTTCAAACTATCCCTAGACAGAAAATTATTATTTTTATTGTTCGAAAAGTGTGTTCGAACTATCCGCCTATTCAAATTGACCAGAGATTAACCGTATACAGACATTTTTTATGGCCGAATATGGGCCAATTCCCCTGTCCAATTTTGCAATTATTTCCCCCTATTTTAGTTAAAAAAATCCCCACCTGTAACTAAATTACGACCACATCAATATCTATCTTGTTTCCATTTTGTTTTTATTTTCCGTCAGTTCCACCACTGAGTGATTAATTGCATTTTCCCTGGGCTAATGTTAATTGTCACTGCTGATACTTTATGTTTACAGCTAGCGATAGCCCTGTTTAGTGTTTACGGTAAACAATAACATAACAGTCACTCAAATGCTTGATTCTTATACATATAAAGTGGCCAACTTGAAGGATCTTTAATAATGAACAGCGAGAAACAAAAATTAAAAGATGATCCATTCCTGGGGCCCCCTCTTGTACTCTCCCCCTGGCCGACAGCCCTCGCTGGACAATGGTCATGCACATGTATACAACGCATTTTTCCCCTATTTCGAAAAAGGGTACTAATTTGCTATTCCTGTATTAATCCCTGGTTTGGATCAGGATAATCCTCTATGCCTAAAAGAGCTATGGGAAACATTGGACAGGAAAGTTGATGACCCAGTTAGCTTGAAGACTAGTTTTCCCAGGTGTAGGTATAGGATGGCATAGAGGATGACCAATGTGTAGGTATAGGATGGTATAGAGGATGACCAATGAAATTGGAGTGGAATTCTTCCATTTGTTAAAACTGTATTTCCAACTGAAAAATGATCATTAAATTGAATAGGCTAAAACTGTATTTCAAACTAAAAAATAATCATTAAATTGAATGCATGAAAGCAGTGCTTTTATTGTGCTTTAGGGAGATTGGTATAAAACCAAAGAAATCATGGACAAAGGTCATGATTGGATTCTTAAGGAGATCACCACCTCAGGATTGAGAGGCCGTGGCGGTGCTGGTTTCCCTACAGGAATGAAATGGGGTTTCATGAATCGCCCTAGTGATGGAAGGTATACAAGTCTACATTCTCTTACAAACTTCACTTTGTTTAATTTAAACTCAAATTTTTGTAAAAATATAAACCAATCGGTCAAGAATCATTTTTATACGTCTGCCACTGTTGGTAGTGACTGGAATTCTGTTGAACTGGTGATAGTGACTGGTATTTAGTGTAACATTCACTACCATTGCTGTTTTAGACCTAAGTACCTGGTTGTAAATGCGGATGAAGGTGAGCCAGGAACATGTAAGGACAGAGAGATCATGCGACATGACCCACACAAACTGGTGGAGGGCTGTCTGATAGCTGGCAGAGCCATGCGCGCTCAGGCAGGTGAGTTGGTTATGATTCTTTTAGTGAGTGTTAATTATAAACAGAAGTCAGCAAACAATTTGAAGATAAATTACAGAAAAAGAAAAGTTCTTTTTATTTGTGTTTACTCAAGTGTTAGACTTTTTCATAACTTTCACTTGTCAAACTGAAAAAAATATTCTATCCTTTATTTTCCTTGTTAGTTTAAGTGTTTTCCCCCAATTGTATAAAATATCTGCTTTATTCGTGCATTGCAAGTGAATAAATTGCAAAGCAGCTCTCTGTTTCGATAAACATGTAATCTTACAATAATTCATTGTGCAAAAATTAAATCCCAGAAATACTTTTTTTGCAAATTTTGAAATTTACACTTCCTGAAATTAGCTTGTTTTACAGTTCTACTACTAATAATGATGTTGTTTATGATTTTAGCCTATATCTACATCAGAGGGGAGTTTTACAATGAGGCATCTAACTTAAATGTGGCTATCAAAGAGGTGAGATCGTGTTTAGGTCAAATTCGTCAGTGGCAACTCTTTGTATAGAAAATCTTTGTAATTATAAAGAACAGCATGATCAGCTTTTTTGTTGAAGTACATACAGTAGGCATTAGGCTTTAACATTTTGCTATAAACTGCAAGTACTCTACATTCAGTCTTATTCTATTTGTGAAATATAGCCATCATTGAATGAATATTATAGATAATTTTATGAATTCCTTTAGAAGTTATTGAAACTTGCAAGTTTGAAATCAGAAACTGAACTGCACCCTCCAGGTATTGACGACAATCCCTCGCTATTCAACGAACCCAAGTGTTCAGCTCCAGCGAGGCAATATTTTCCTCTCATATTCCTTGGCTGCTATAACTGTTGTACAGGGTCTTTTCAGTGAGTTTTCCATTGGAGAAACCTGTCCCGTAGGTTGCTTGTTATTGTTATTTTTTTGTACATTTGCTAGGCCTACAAGGCTGGTTTTTATTGTTATTTTTTGTACATTTGCTAGGCCTACAAGGCTGGTTTCCTGGGCAAGAATGCGTGTGGTTCTGGCTACGACTTTGATGTGTTCGTGCATCGTGGAGCTGGAGCTTACATCTGTGGGGAGGAAACTGTAAGTATAGTGAAACTGCTTAAAAGTTAAAAGTTTATGGTTTCATTGGTATTATAAGAGACAAACCATCGCTTTCAGTTGACTCATGACATTTAGCAATATCAGAAGTCAAGTAGAATTTTCCCTGAATTTTGTAGAACTGAAACATGTCAAATAGACATGAGGTTTAACTCATTCACCCCTGAAATCTCATAATGAACCATTCCAACCTTTGAATTTGAAGAGTTAAAACGTGTCTTCAGGGGTGAATGAGTTAAAACCCAAGAGTCAAAGCACATTTTGGGGAGTCACTGTAAAGTATCTATTGAAAGCCTTACCATTTGCATTGTCTTTAACAAATTCCCCATATCCTCAGAAGATTTACAGAGTAACACAGTAACATTACGTCTTAAATATGATGTTAGGTGTAGAAAAGTCTTATTTTCAAAATCATCAGGTGGCACAATTTCCAGTTAGATAGCTATAGGGAATCCTCTAAATAATAGTTATAGCCAAACTTGACTATGGAAATTGTATTTTGACAGTTGTTCATACTCACAAGGACTTTTTGAGGAAAGAAGAACAGTTCAAAGATTTCATTTAAATGTATATTGTGGGAGAAGTCATCCTCAATACTCAAGGGGTTATGCTCACTTTCTCTGGCTGCACCCCTGAAAGATGTCATAGCAACAGTGAAGGCTCGGTGTGCACCACCTTGTGGATGAGACTGGAAGACTATAGTTTGATCCTTTGATGTGCATCAAAAGAATCTCTCGGCCACATAACTGTAAAATTGACTGGCTTTGAAGCCAACACCTTCCTCTGTAATCTTCAAAGAACAGGTATCAGTCTAGTGATTTGTGAGGATTTTTTACCGGAGACCAATCAAATAGCTAGCCGTGTGCTTACAATTTGCTATGACAATCAAATATTCTAGGGGTAAAGAGATTGAAAGTGAGCGAAACCCCCAGAGTATCGAGGATGGGAATCAGTTTGAACATTTACAATAAGCCTATTATGTAGGTATCCTTGAGCTATACACTTTGTAGGATTGTTAACATTGATGTTTCAGTCACTGATAGAATCTCTAGAGGGTAAGGCTGGGAAGCCCCGCCTAAAGCCACCCTTTCCTGCTGATGTGGGTGTGTTCGGGTGTCCAACAACAGTAGCAAATGTGGAGACGGTGGCTGTAGCACCAGTAAGTAGTCGTCATAGCAATTTATCCAGGTCAGCAGGAAAAAAAAAGATTAAAAAATGGAATGAAATTATATATATGCAATTATGTCAAATTGATAATGTATATACCTATATATTCAGGGCATTCATAACATATATAAAATAGCAAGTTGTTCAGATTCACTGAACAAATTGTAACCTAGTTTTAGGTTTTAAACATACTTCTGTGTATTTCAGACTAAATCTTTCTAACCAAATAGTGCAAAAGAGTCAAGGTTTAAGTACTGACAATTATAATTAACATACTGGTATATGACAAAGGTAAATTTTAATGTACTGGTATATGACACGGGTAAATTGTAATGTACTGGTATAAGACAAGGGTAAATTTTAATGTTCTGGCATATGACAAGGGCAAATCTTAATATACTGGTATATGACACGGGTAAATTGTAATGTACTGGTATAAGACAAGGGTAAATTTAAATGTACTGGTATATGACAAGGGTAAATTTAAATGTACTGGCATATGACAATGGCAAATCTTAATATACTGGTATATGACAAGGGTAAATTTAAATGTACTGGTATATGACAAGGGTAAATTGTAATGTACTGGTATATGACAAGGGTAAATTTAAATGTACTGGTATATGACAAGGGTAAATTTAAATGTACTGGTATATGACAAAGGTAAATTTTAATGTACTGGCATATGACAAGGGCAAATCTTAATATACTGGTATATGACAAGGGTAAATTTAAATGTACTGGTATATGACAAGGGTAAATTGTAATGAACTGGTATATGGCAAGGGTAAATTTTTAAGTTCTGGTATATGACAAGGGTAAATTTTTAAGTTCTGGTATATGATAAGGAAAAATTGGATATGTACTAGTGTGTGATAAAGGTTCAAGGTAGAGTATAAATGTCAAGGTTAAAGTGTCAGTATGTGATAGATACCTAGGTAAAAGTACTGATATGTGTTAACTTAGGGTCAAAGTTGAAGTAATGATATGTGTTCGGGTCAAAGTTGAAGTAATGATATGTGTTAGGGTCAAAGTTGAAGTAATGATATGTGTTTGGGTCATAGTTGAAGTAATGATATGTGTTAGGGTCAAAGTTGAAGTAATGATATGTGTTCGGGTCAAAGTTGAAGTAATGATATGTGTTAGGGTCAAGTTGAAGTATTGATATGTGTTCTGGTCAAAGTTGAAGTAATGATATGTGTTAGGGTCAAAGTTGCAGTACTTGGACGTGATAGGGTCAAAATTGAAGTATTGATATGTTCTAGGGTCACAGTTGAAGTACTGATACATGTACTAGGGTCAAAGTTGAAGTATTGATATGTGTTCTGGTCAAAGTTGAAGTAATGATATATGTTTGGGTCAAAGTTGAAGTAATGATATATGTTAGGGTCAATGTTGAAGTACTTAGACGTGTTAGGGTCAATGTTGAAGTAATGATATGTTAGGGTCAAAGTTGAAGTAATGATATATGTTCGGGTCAAAGTTGAAGTAATGATATATGTTCTGGTCAAAGTTGAAGTAATGATATGTGTTCGGGTCAAAGTTGCAGTACTTAAATGTGATAGGGTCAAAGTTGAAGTATTGATATGTACTAGGGTCAAAGTTGTAGTACTGATACATGTACTAGGGTCAAAGTTGAAGTACTGATATGTGATTGGGGTAAGAGTTTGTTATGAAGGTCAAGCTTGATTTCTCTGCATATATATATTACTGTATCAATAACCAGGTTATATGCAGACGGTCAGGCGATTGGTTTGCATCATTTGGACGGGAGCGTAACCGTGGCACTAAGGTAAGATGGGTTTGTTGATATAATTACATTTAATTCAAACTCAAATAAATAATTAATACAGATCGGCCAATTTCTGGGCTATTTGACTTAAAAAATAACCATCTTTGGTAACAAATTTACGAGATAAATGATTCTCAGAATCCATGTAAAATTAAAATAACTAAATGTATTTGAGGAAATGTAAAAGTAAACATAAGAATGGTTTATTTGACCAGCGCCTAGATAGAGTGGAATAATAGAATCTTCCCCTACCTCAAGGGTGTGACAGAAATCTCTAACCCCAGGGGTGCTTTTTAGGTCACCAGGGCCCACTTGTATAAAACATCTCAACTCTTGAGATTGCCTCAAGTCTAAGATTTCCCATAGACAATACATTGCTTGAGATTTTCCTTAACTTTGAGATGTTTTATACAAGTGGGCCCTGAGCTTTAGCTCCAAGTGACCTATTGCTATCAGTCTTCGTCCGTCGTCGTCCGCTAACATTTTACGTTTTCAACTTAAGCTGAAATTCCATCAAACGGATTTCAGTGATACTTCATGGGAATGTTACTGACATCTCCCTGACCGAGTGTTGTTATTTATCGGTTGATCAGAAATCCAACATGGCCACCACAGCCACCTTTTTGAAAAACTATTTTTAACTTAAAGTCAAATTCTATTGGTCCAATTGAACTGAAACTTGGTTGGAATGATCGACTCTTGGTCCTGACAAAGTGTTGTTATTTTTTGGGTTGATCAGAAATCCAAAATGGTCACCATTTTGAAAAAAAAAATCCAACTTAAAATCAATATCTAATAGGCCCATTTAACTGAAACTTGGTCTAGGAATGATCAACTCATGGTCCTAACAAACTTAACTTTATGTTATACACACCTTTTTTTTACTCAAAGTGGTAGGGATGACAGCATTATCTCCACTTCATATTTCAACAAAAAAATAAGTACTGTAGGACTCAGGTGACCGTTAACGCCCATGGGCCTCTTGTTTTGGGTTAGACAACCAAAAATATCACCCCAAGTTTTTTTTAGAGATTTCTCTGTTACACCCTGAAGGTAGGGGATGATTGATTTTTTTCAGTCACAACTTCACTGACAGTAGTCTGTTTGTAAACAAAAACACATGTGGGGTACATGTGGGGTATACATATTGTCATTTGCTTTTGATGACGTCACAATTACCGGTGATACATTTTAATGATGTTACAATTGAACACTTGCTATCTCCCCCTAGGGGGTGACAAGCTGATCTTTCCCGGCGAAAATGGGAGACACATCTGTGAAGGTTGGGAGAAATGGTTATCATCTTAAAACATTTCACTAAATGGCTGAATCTCTCATCGGTAACTCCTCTTCCAAGATCAGTCACTTTGTGTCTATAACACCTTGAACCACTTATTCTCCTTACACAAGGCCTACAGTCTGCAGCACCTGTCAGTCATCTTACACAAGGCCTACAGTCTGCAGAACCTGTCAGTCATCTTACACAAGAGGCCTATGACAAATGCTCACTTTCCATTTAAAACTTCTGCAGAACTTGCTATTCCCATTCAAAAAGCCTTCAGAATCAATCGCTCCAAGTCCAGGAAACATATATAGTCAGACCTTTAAACCATGCCATGAGTGTAATACCATGCCCCCCCCCCCCCCCCCCCCCCCCCCCCCCCCTCGAGAACTCCAGTTTCCTCAAATAGTAAGTTAAGGCTCCACATGCTAACATCCGGGCCAACAATATATATTTACACTAGGAAATAGATTCAATCACAACAGGCGAAGGAGCAAGTAGTTTCTGTAGTTTATTAGAAGTGTCGACTGGTTTATATTTATATTAATTGCAAAATTTGGGACACAGATGTTTGAGTCCTAGATTTATGCTTTTTGAAAACTATGTTTAGTACACATCAGAAATCATACCAAACAGTCACTGAGAATATTTTCAGTACGTTGTAATTGTCAGCTGTTGTTAATTTTCAGCTGTTTAACATTTCCGGCCATGTAAACAACCCTACCACAGTGGAGGAGGAGATGTCCATACCGCTGAGGGAAATCATTGAGCGCCACGCTGGAGGTGTCATCGGGGGCTGGGACAACCTCCTGGCTGTCATTCCTGGAGGTTCTTCTACACCTCTTATACCCAAAAGGTAATGTAATTTACCGAAACACCTCTAATGTCCAATAGGTAACATAATCTACTGAAACACCTGTAATACCCAAAAGATTATGTCATCTACAGAAACACTTCTAATACCCAAAAGATAATGTCATCTACTGAAACACCTCTAATACCTAAAATATAATGTCATCTATAGAGACACCTCTAATACCCACAAGATAATGTCATCTACTGAACACCTCTAATACCCAAAAGGTAATGTAATTTACCGAAACACCTCTAATGTCAAATAAGTAACATAATCTACTGAAACACCTCGAATACCCAAAAGATAACGTCATCTACTGAAACCCCTCTAATCCCCAAAAGATTATGTAATCTACAGAAACACCTCTAATACCCAAAAGATAATGTCATCTACTGAAACACCTCCAATACCAAAAAGATAATGTCATCTTCAGGAATGCCTAAAGCTCTCATTTCCAAAGGATTGATAGAATCTCCCCCTACCTAGAGAAATCTCCAACCCGAGGGATGATATTTTGGATTGTCTTACATTCGAGAATATCATTCAGAGGGTTGGAGTTTTCTCTGCCACACCCTCAAGGTAGGAGATGGTTGTTTTGCTCCCATCCTGTTTCACTCATAAACCCGCTGACAAGTGGTGATAGCATGAAATATAAGTGTGATTGGATGTTTGTCCAGCAAATCCAGAGTTGTATTCCATGGTCCGCTACTGTTTGTGTGATATCAATGCATTGATGACTTGAGCATACTATTGTTGTGACTTTGATAGCGCCATTTTGCACGAGGCTATCTCCCCCTAGGGGCTGACAAATTGATCTTTTCTGGCTGAAAAGGGGGGATACACCTGTGAAGGGTGGGAGAAAATGTCATCCACAGAAAAGAATGTCATACCCAAAAAATGTCTCTTATATACCCAAAAAGTATTTTTATCTATAAAAATGTCCCTCATACCCAAAAGGTAATATTATCTACAGAAACACCTCTCATACCATAAAAATAATCTCATCTAATAAAACACTACTAACATCCAAATGGTAACCTCATCTACAGAAAAGCCTCAAACTTTCCTACCCAAAAATCTCTCTTACAGACAAGCCCCTCACACCCAAAATGTAATGTTATCTATGAAAACACCTCTCATACCCAAACAGTAATTTTGTCCACGGAAACAACTCTTACACCAAAATGTAGCGCTTCTCTTAGCAATTTGATGGATTGTTGTCAACTTGTGTATGTCTGTTTCAATTACAGTGTGTGTGAGGATGTGATGATGGATTTCGATGCCCTAGTACAAGCCCAGACCAGTCTGGGAACAGCAGCCATTATTGTGATGAACAAAGACGCTGATGTTGTTAGGTGTATCTCCCGTCTGATTGAGTTCTACAAACATGAAAGCTGTGGACAGGTAATAACACTGGTACTCTTTGTGTCTTAATTCCTTCAAAGTTGTACAAACAAAAGAGAAGACCAGCCTCCTCGTGTATACAATTCTGAACGAATCTTTTATATTTCGAAAGTGTTTCAATTTCTTAATTTTAATGAAATAAAAAATACAGCTGGATTTATTTTTGTTTTAACTATCTAATGATATTGCATAGATTAATTTAAAGTTTAGGGTATTTTACCTTGTTCCAAAAACAATTTATCAGTCATATGTTCCCCCTGTACTTCAAGTAGTGTATTCTAGTGCATTTTAGCTTTCAATATAAAGGAACTTGCAATACAAAACTCTGATTGTGATAAAATCATCTTGAATTTGGTTACTTTATATAAGATTCAGGAAATTTGTCAGCTTAACAGAGCCTCAATTTCAAAATATATACAAGCAGTATCATTTGAAATGGAACTAATTTGTATCCTCCGTCGTTTCCCTTTGTCAGTGACAGAAGTTAGACATACCCATGATTACTTTCTATTACAGTGTACGCCTTGTCGGGAAGGTACAGGATGGATGATGAAGATTATGACTAGATTTGGTAAGAAGACTATATTATCCTTGTTATAGCATTCAACATGATCATTTACTTTTAGTCCACCATAATCCCCATTTTTGTCCCGGCGCCACAAAGTGGAAGCGAGACTATAAGGTGTTGCTTTTCCGGAAGCGGCGTCAACATTAAGTTTTTGTGTTTATGTTAGTTTCTCTGAAAGTATAAGTGCTACACCAACCAAACTTGGACCTTTGATGCATCTTAGGTCGTACATCTCAAAGCATGCATCAAATGCTGGATGCCGCCTACCTTTCATGGTCCATTGACTTTGTCAGTATCTCCATCAACATTAATTTTTTGCGTTTAAGTTAGTTTCTCCGATATGTACATCATATGTGATATCATATATAGAACTGTGTGCGCTTTTGGTATTTTATAGAAGTGATCGATTTTGTGGTTTTATAAAAGTGATTTTATTGTTCCTGCAGAGTCTGGAAATGCTAAGCCAGAGGAGATTGACATGTTGTACGAGCTAAGTAAACAGATTGAGGGTCACACGATATGTGCTCTCGGAGACGGAGCTGCCTGGCCAGTACAGGTAAATAAGTCTTTATATCACTCTGCATTGACTTCTCAGGAAAGACCATCTCCATTCAATAGAGAACACCTGTATTAAAAAGTCACCCTATGATAAACAACCACATGTTGAGTGTATTAAGAGAACAAATATGTTAAGTGATAACTTTCAAAACTTTCTTTAGTTACTTTCGTGTTTAATGATTAAATCTGTATTAGGACTTGTTATAGGCAGCTACTTATAGATTTATAAATTCCTCTCGCTTGTAATCATTTGATCAGACTATAATCAGAATAGTCGTTTGCATTCATATATATTTAACAAGTATGACCCTGTGAAAACGACATAAATTAAAAAATATTTCATTTGATTTTCAGGGACTTATTAGACACTTTCGACCAGAGCTTGAGCGAAGAATGTCAGACTTTGCCAAGAAACAGCAAGCGGCCACTGCTTGATTTTTCATACAGTGCAAACAAACAGTATTTGATATTGGTAAATTAAAAAAACATATTAAAGCTGTGAAATTTTACTGAGGAGTTTGGGGTAGAGATAAAACATCTCTAGTACTGTTAAATGATATTCAGAGGGAATTCATGTCTCTTGATTATCAAAGATGTTTATTATGAACTTTGACCCCTGTTATTGGACAGAGTTGTTTTTCTATTAATTCTTGACTAGGCAAAGGAATGGATATAAATTCAAGTCAGGAGTGAGTACTAACTGTAAATTTCAGTAGATACGTATACAAGTCATGTAAATATGTACATTGTGATTATTGTATGAAGTGTGAGAAACAGTTTGACTGACAACTGTATTTGACACATATAGTGATGTACCTCATGAGAGTCTGTGTGTTGCACTTTTGATTAAACGGGACATCAGGAGTTAACTATGTTTTGTATTTATTTACAACCCACACTACATTCTAACATTCTTAGTTATTGCCCTTTGATAAAAAAATCATTGTTGTAACAATATCTCCAAAACTACAGGGACAATTTCAAAGAAAGTTTACAGATATGGTAATTATATATATAACTGCCCCCTGACATTGTGCATCCAATTAAATGTATTTTTTCCCCCATTTTGACCCTTTTAAAAGGAGTTATGGCCTTTTGTTGAGAAAAACTTTGTCTGCCTTCAAAACTACTGGCCCGATTTCAATGAAAGATTATAGAGGAGTATTTTTTTCATTTACTATTTTAAAGGAGTTTTGGCCCTTTGCTAAAAAAAATGCTCTGACAACTCTTCCTTAACTACTAGGACAATTTTAGCAAAACTGGTTCATGTGTGCTAACAAGATTTGGCTTGCAAGTATGTTTTGGCATGGAGGCACAGTATGTCAGTGACCTATATACTTAAATAAGTGTACAGCTCAGTAAATAAAGAAATCATTACTAGTGGGAGACTATGGATTGCTTTTAATTGCTTTGCCTTAGTAAGCCTTTAGCTTACATTTCTAGTTTATATAGAAGTGTGGGGTATTAGTTAGCCTTTGGCTTACAGTTCTGGTTTATATAGGAGCGTGGGGTATTAGTTAGCCTTTGGCTTACAGTTCTGGTTTATATAGGAGTGTGGGGTATAGTTAGCCTTTGGCTTACCGTTCTGGTTTATATAGGAGCGTGGGGTATTAGTTAGCCTTTAGCTTACAGTTCTGGTTTATATAGTAGTGTGGGGGTATTAGTTAGCCTTTAGCTTACAGTTCTGGTTTATACAGGAGCGTGGGGTATAGTTAGCCTTTGGCTTACAGTTCTAGTTTATATAGAAGTGTGGGGTATTAGTTAGCCTTTGGCTTACAGTTCTTGTTTATATAGGAGTGTGGGGTATTAGTTAGCCTTTACCTTACAGATCTGGTTTATATAGGAGCAGGGTATTAGTTAGCCTTTAGCTTACAGTTCTGGTTTATATAGGAGCGTGGGGTATAGTTAGCCTTTGGCTTACAGTTCTAGTTTATATAAGAGCGAGGGTATTAGTTAGCCTTTGGCTTACAGTTCTAGTTTATATAGGAGTGTGGGGTATTAGTTAGCCTTTGGCTTACAGTTCTTGTTTATATAGGAGTGTGGGGTATTAGTTAGCCTTTAGCTTACAGTTCTGGTTTATATAGGAGCAGGGTATTAGTTAGCCTTTAGCTTACAGTTCTGGTTTATATAGGAGCGTGGGGTATATATAGTTAGCCTTTAGCTTACTGTTCTGGTTTATATAGGAGTGTGGGGTATTAGTTAGCCTTTGGCTTACAGTTCTGGTTTATATAGGAGCGTGGGGTATAGTTAGCCTTTGGCTTGCAGTTCTGGTTTATATAGAAGCGTGGGTATAGTTAGCCTTTGGCTTGCAGTTCTGGTTTATATAGGAGCGTGGGGTATATATAGTTAGCCTTTAGCTTACAGTTCTGGTTTATATAGGAGCGTGGGGGATATATAGTTAGCCTTTAGCTTACAGTTCTGGTTTATATAGGAGCGTGGGGTATAGTTAGCCTTTGGCTTGCAGTTCTGGTTTATATAGTAGCGTGGGGTATAATTAGCCTTTGGCTTACAGTTCTGGTTTATATAGGAGCGTGGGGTATAGTTAGCCTTTGGCTTTCAGTTCTAGTTTAGTTTGTTTAGAGTATAATGTTCTTATAACAGCCAAGATCACACAAAGACGAGACAAATAATTTATTTCTGAGCAGATACATGTATTCTATGAAGGCAAAAACACAACAAACAGAAATTTTAACCAATTTTGTCTTTATTGTATTGTTAATGAAGTACATTTGTATATGATTTGAGTAAAAAGGAACGCAAATCTTGGAATGATCTAAGGAATATAAATTCCTGACTGATAAATAACATCAAATAAAATAAACTACTGACCTAGGTAATACACGGTCCACCATCTTCCGCTGGTGAAATCTAGCACCATACTTACTATAAACCACAAATAAAACAACACTGAGTAATCAGCAAAATATATATCATACTTTGGGATGTTTTGGTGTTGTTGGCTCAAAATAGGGTGGTTAAATTTTGGTTCGTCCAAATTCAGCGGTTATAGTGAAAACTGAAAAGTTATGACATTTTTAGATGAAAACGTGAATTTGTTGAAGTTTTATGAATTAAGTGTTATAATATATACCTATTCCTGCCCGAAAAATAAGCAATTCCAAGTTACGCTTACATGAACAATATAGCCCTGCACAGAAGTTAGCAATTGAAGCATAATAAATGACTTGGGAGATGGACTGCCGATATCTGGATGTATCGACAATATATTTTGGCACTGTGACAATTGGTTTCATTTTGGCTCATTGACACTCCAAGAACCATATAAACCAAAACGTAAGTACATATAAAATATCCCAAAGAATGGTAGTTCTAACAATATTAATAAAGACCCAATGGAGGAGAGAGATACAAAGATAGAAAAGTCGAGAATTATATATTTTTTCCAAAACATGGTAAAGGTATCGGTCATGTACATTGGTGGAATTCTAGCACCATACCTCATAGACCACGAACAAAAATGAATTACCAGTAAAAATATGTTGTCCAAACAAAATCCAATGGAGAAGAGAGACGTACAAAGATGGAAAAAAAGTCTACAGTTACAAAATATAGAAAAGGTATTTATCAACTACAATAGTATTGAATGTAAAATATTACTAGATAAGTCAATATAAAGTTGAAATGTAAAATAACGAATACCAAATACACAATGAAAAGTATACAAATGTATGTAAAAGTAAATAAATATTTGAAGGTAACTTGAATGAGTGACTATGATATAATAAAGGAATGCTTGTTTAATATATAATACACAATAAGTTATCTGGAATCTTTTAACCCTTTCACCCCTATGTAACTTTAGTAAACTCTACCATGTATTGATCTGGATGAGTCCATTTTGGTATACAGTGGTGAAAGGGGGTAATTCAGTATATTGTTGAAAAATACCGAAAATGAAAAACTAAAATTGCTTCATGTGGAATCAAATTCATCCTTTGAAGACATATTCATATTTAGGATATTTTTTAAAAATCACAATTTGTAGAACTCGTTTACCCCTACAGACACATTTAAACTCTTCAAATTCAAAGGTTGGAACAGTTCATTTTAAAATTTCTGGAGTGAATGAGTTGATCTGATCTGGCTTTGAACAACCAGGCTTAAATGTTGTAAACAAATATCACTGATATTAATAATAAAGGGTTAACATGACTTGTGTCAGTATTTATCAAATACACCTGCAATCTTGGAAATATTAGTGTGTTAGGTTTTAATTGTTTGTAGGATCTTCTAGCTTTGTGTTAGAGAGAGTTTTCCTTTAGCTCAATAAGTAGCTATAGAGTGGTGGACTGGGAAAGGTATGGGTCGCTGGCTCAATCCAGGTGGAAGCACACCACTTTCTTTCCTGTTAAAGATGGTGTCTGTGGCCCTCCTAGAAGCTTGCAAAGGTGAAGAAATATGGAACTAACTGCACATGAAACATTACCAGGTATCTTAATACATGACTAAAAATACAATGATTTTCAATGAATAAAAATTCTACAAATACACTGTAAATATGATATTGAGTACATTATGTAGAGTCCTGGTTAAACAATCTCTTAGACCTGTCCATAACTATTAATAAAGAAATACACAGAATCACCAAACCTACCAGCAAAGTACAAAAATAGTAAATAAATAATAAAAAAATAAATATAGTGTGAATAAAAAATCAGTTATTAAATGGCAAGGACATCACCTTATTACTGTTACCTGGTTACAAATATTCCTCAGACGTCTTTATGTAATAGACATGTAAACTCTACCATGCTTATGTTAATAAACAAATAAAGATATAAACAGAACAGAGAAATAATTTATAAAATGTTAACGACTACAGATTTATCTCCCCTTATATCAAATAAAAAATAATACAAAAACACATACCTGTACGGTGTACCCTATGCATTGAAAGGCACCAGTGGAAAGACAACAACATAAGAATCTATCTACTGATTGTTGTTTATCTCTAACTATTGAACAGACTAATAACATCTGTTACTTGTAACTAAAAGCAAGATTGGGTTATCTCAGTCGAGGGGCAAAGATTCTTTCACATTATCCCAACTGTTGCAGATTTTAAGCCTGAGGCTGAGATAACCTAAATTCGCTCAATTACAGGTAATCATTTTTTTTTTCTCGCACCTATTCAATATTTTTATTTTATTTAATTTTGCTATAGCCTTCAAGTATCCTGTTTGGAGCCTCAAATAAATATGGCCTCTTCGTCACTATATATATACACGGGACGTTTGAATGTATCATAACAATGTGGTCCGTACTTACAAAAAAAGAAAACCTATCACATAGTAGATTATATTTTATCTACAACATCAGGAAACTAACAACATCATAACAATAAGTAAAACAACAAAACAGAATAAAAACAATTATGACTGTCACTTGTGTCAGCGTGTGGATGAACACGTTGCTGAGTGAAAATTCTATGAAATGTCACAGAGAGGTGCCAGACAGATCAGACACTGAAAAATCTAGCATGAGGTAACCGGTATGTATCGTGCGAGATATCCTGGCTGAGGTGTGAGAAAAAATTATATAATTCTTATCAGCTGTGCATGACATTCATCCAATTGGACGATGCTGAAAATCATTAAAGCATTATGGGAAAGGGACTTCGAAAATGAAAATCCATGGCTTCCATGTGGCATAGGATAAGCTGTATGTATCATGATTTAAAATGGGCATCTTGATAATATTTGCTGTAAATAAAAACACTTCATAATACATCTATTCCTTAGACTCCATTTCATATACAATGTACAACTAGTTTTAATATCATCAGAATTATGGTGATCAATAATGAATAGCAATGTAACAGGTACATGCACCTGAACTGTTACAATATAAGTTGACTTCGCAAGCAAGTATCATGAAATGGCACAAACGTTTTTGGCTCAAAAATCATCCATTGAGTTTGAAATGGCACAGTTTGAAATTGCAGTCTGATAAGTAAGTTATGATAACTGTAGAAGTGACATATTTAACAATGACATGAACCATAATGAATGAGGCTGCCCTAGTTTAATTTCCCACTGTTCTGTCCCTCATCAATCAGCAGTTTTGGACAGGTACATATATGTATATATGTAAACATCGATTCCTGATTATGCACCATCCTGTCCTCAAGCTGATTTATCTTTCCACTATACACCATCCTGTCCTCAAGCTGATTTATCTTTCAACTGATGTAATGCAAATGCAGCTATATTAAAGACAAAATTATAAGTTTTTTTAAATGAATCAATGTCATAAAGTCATGCTAATTTCTGCTGCATGTTTCTGTGCAATCTAATTAAAATCATATCTTCACATCGCTCCCGTTTACTGATATGTCGCGTTGAAGATCTAATAACATCCCATAGAGGGTCACGTCAGAGGCCAACATGAATGCATTATCGTATTTATAACAAGCCAATCAAAACGCGACATAACTCTTTCTTTCAACCAATCAGAAAAATCGAACAGTTCTGTAACAATCTTATAATATCTCAAAATTCACCAGGTAATTTGATTGTGTTTTACGTCCTATCAACAGCTTTGGTCATATAAGGAAGTGCCAGGTTTTGGTGGTGGAGGAATCCGGAGTACCCAGGGAAAATCCACCGACTGGAGGTTAGCACCTGGAGACTGCCCCAGGTAGGCCTCGAACCCACCACCCTGTGGAGGAGGGCTAGTGGTAGCAGAATGTCAGACGCCTTACAATATGTAACCACCCGACCACCGCGGCTCCGGTAAACTGGATTCAAATGTGAAAAAGATACTATGTCACAATGATACAACTAGTTGACCAACTTTCACTTCTAAAGCTGTAACTAAAACGTACAAAAGATGATTGACTAAAATCATAAATATTGTGTCCTATAAAAGTGATCTTTAAACTCCTTGCATCAACCCTCAGTCATCACTAGAGGTCGACTCCTCTTCCCCTCGAAGCTTTTTCAGCACAGTTGTGGCGAGCTCTTCAATGGTGGAGGGCTGTAACGCCGAGGCTAGCTTGACAATGACTGGCGCGATACTGTGATCTTGAAACGACTTGAGGAATACAGGATCTGTGGAAGCCAAGAGTTTGAGTTAGAAATTTATTTAAATGTCTTGTATGTTCTCAAAATGTCAACTTTGTTGTGTATTTCTAAAATGAAAGCAAGAGACCCATAATTCTACACATAAATGTAAAATTCCTTGAAATAACCAACATAAGCATCCTAGAGTGTTGAATAAGATTGGGAGATGGATAAGAACACAAAACAATACCATCTTACTGCGTACATTACTTATGCATTAATACACAGATACACCCCTGCTAGCTTCAATACTGTACTTAATATGTATAAAAAGTTGAAGTCGGGTGATTTTTATACCCACCTTTGAGAAGCTGTACCAATGTCCAGAGGGCTATGTGTATAAAGTTGGGGTCGGGTGATTTGAGGAAGGTGTCTATATATAGCACTATCCCGTTGATGTTCACCGTCTTCAGCTCCTCAGGGATTTCTGTAAATATTCAGCACAATGTATATATCTGTGATAAGAGTATATTTCCTACTNAACTGTTGGCATACATATTTTAGCAGTATTCCTAGTTTAGCACTTTTCATACATTTATTTTGCACTTGATTATGACTTCACTAACTGAAATTTCGGTAGATAGTTTTTTTATTGCACATATTGTGAATTTCGGTAGATAGTTTTTTTATTGCACATATTGTGAGTGAACCAATTCATCAAGATGCTAATGAGTTAAAAATTTCATGATACGCTTAAGTCAAAGCCTGCTTAAGTAAGTTTTTTACAGTACACATTAAATAATTATTAATAATTATTGTTCATTCAGGAAGTTTACCTACATGACTGAAATACCAATATCTATACATCACTGTGGTAAAATAATACATGCACAGTGTAGCCACCTCCTACCAACTCAGCTAGCTAGAAAGAATTTATTTTTAGTTCATTTGGTAGAGCGACACACTAGTAACTATAGGTCTCTGTTTCGAGTCCAAGTAACATGTTTTTGTCATTTGTTTCAAAAGACTTTAATCATAGGCTTATATGCAAAGTCTGAGCATTTAAAACAGTCATTATTCCCAGTAAATGTACAACAACTGCCCTGGGTCACACACTTGTAATTACCTACCAGGTAAAACTTACAAAGGGTAATAATAATTCTTACCTACCAAGGCATCTGACCAGGAATCACAAACTAATACGATTATCTAGGAAGGACACCTGAACCAGGGTCACACAGTACTTACCTACAAGAAATAACTGACCCAGGGTTCCCACACTGTTGTACTGGACCTCTGATTGGGTGGACAGCGTTGCCAAGGTAACCAGTTTACTGAAAACTTTTCCACCATGTAGATGAAGCAGCTTGTATTTGACATCATCTGTACAACAGAACCATGATTAGAGACAATAGCAATAATAGGAGATCATTGCCTTAAATGTCTGTGGTCATTTAAAATCATTATTTGAACAATGCTTTAGGAACTGAATTTGATCACATTTATTATAATTAACTCATTCACCCCTGAAGACACATTTAATTTTTGAACTCTTCCAATTCAAAGGATGGAATAGTTCATAATGAAATTTCAAAGGTGAATGGGTTAATGTTTTATACCTCAACTCAGTCTTAACTAATAGATTATTATCTCAATAAAGTCTGTGCTTCTCTGCTTTCTGATTGGCCAAAATATCAATGGCTAAAGAAATTCCCCTTCACTATTTTTATCATATTGTGATTTTTTACTTCTGGAGTTGCAGGTCAATATCACGTTTTGTAAAAAAAACCTGAGCGTAGTTTTAGCTAATCACATCAAAGCAGAAATGAACGTCATATAACAAAACTGATCATTCTCAGAACAGTCTGTGATAAGTACTAGTGATCATTATATAAGTCTGTGAAAATTGATTTTTATCACAGCAGACTTCGTTTGACATTGTCTATATTTAAGCTATTCAATCATTATGTCAACAATATCTGTGCTAAATGATTCTTACCTTCATAACCTTTGAAATATAATGACAAGTTCTGAACAGTTGCAAATTTAGAAGTTAGCAAACGGTGCCCAACTAATGTTGAACATATTGTTGAATATTAAAACATCCTTTTAAGACACATGAAGAGGGTAGTCATTAAAGAAAATATGATAGCACACTGTTAATCATTCCAACCTCGTACATTCTAAAAGCCTCAATTTAAAATTGTGGACTCTTTCACAAAACTTATTTAAAGCCATTCATTCATATGTTGATTATCTCCAATTTTTAATAAAGAAATGATTTTTCCAATTTTTTAAATAAACAATTTCCAAGTTCTATTTACATAACAGAGAACAATATATTGCACATGACTTCATTACAGTGTATCAATGCCTGACCTTGATCCATAAAGGGATGTTTACAACCAAGGTCGGTAAACAACGGGTGACAATAGATAGCAAAGGCCAATGCTACTCCAACAATGTTAGAGGTCTTACACGGCGAAAAACTTTTGACAGGCGCCGTCGCAGTCGGCAAAATCATATCCGATTGAAAAAAGGCCGACCAGCGGCCTCTCATGTTATGGGAGTAAGGCCAATGCTAGCTTTTGCTAGAAAATATGATTATCAATTCCTTAACAATTTTTGTTAATAAAAAGCTTGGACGATTGTTATAACCTCTTCAATCGATCAGTTGTCAAGGGATTAATTTATCACAACAAGGCTCAATGGACGATTCCCCTATTATTGAGCTCCAGATGTAGACTAACCTTCATCAGCAAACACGGCCAGAGCAGCTGTCACCTCCTTCAGTGTATTCATCCTGGTCTCTAGCCCGAGCAGGACGAAGGTCAAGGCCTCCACACAGTCGTGTTCTATAAGGTCCTAGAGGTAACAATATAGGAATGTAAACACAGCCTAGGTAACAAAGACTACATAACAAAGGATATCCTGATACACTAGTCTAATATCAAAGTTACGAAAGGTCAAAACACTCTTACAATGATAAACTCGTCCTTAGCAAAGGATCAGAAGTCTCTACCCTGATGTACTGGCCCACAGCTAGGCATCCTCGATATCCAGGAGTTACGCTCACCTACGCTAACATAGGTGAGCGTAACCCCTGGATATCGAGGATGACAGCTAGGTTACGAAGTCCCTACCCTGATGAACTGAGCTTATTAAGGTTACAAAGACCCTACGTACCCTGATGTACTGGCCCACAGCTAGGTTACAAAGACCCTACCCCGATGTACTGGCCCACAGCTAGGTTACAAAGACCCTACCCTGATGTACTGGCCCACAGCTAGGTTACAAAGTCCCTACCCTGATGAACTGGCCCACAGCTTATTAAGGTTACATAGTCCCTACTCTGATGTACTGGTCTACAGCTAGGTTACAAAGTCCCTACCCTGATTTACTGGCCCACAGCTAGGTTACAAAGTCCTTACCCTGATGTACTGGCCCACAGCGAGGTTACAAAGTCCCTACCCTGATGTACTGGCCCACAGCCAAGTTACAAAGTCCCTACCCTGATGTACTGGCCCACAGCTAGGTTACAATGTCTCTACCCTGATGAACTGGCCCACAGCTTATTAAGGTTACATAGTCCCTACTCTGATGTACTGGTCTACAGCTAGGTTACAAAGTCCCTACCCTGATTTACTGGCCCACAGCTAGGTTACAAAGTCCTTACCCTGATGTACTGGCCCACAGCGAGGTTACAAAGTCCCTACCCTGATGTACTGGCCCACAGCCAAGTTACGTATGATCCCTGCCGCGTGTCTCTGAGCCTCAGGGTTGTGGCTGTCACACATGACGTGGCATAGGTCTATCACAAAGTTACTTGTCATAATCACCACCTACAAAACATAGAGAAATGTATATCATTACTGGAGCTATAGAGACAAGATTTTAAAAATTAAAATATTTCTATTATTTTATTTTCAAATTCAGTAGCTCTTATATATGAGTCAAAGGAGTCATTAATTTATAACTCTAATGAGTCAGTGAAGTCACTTGCACCCTCCATGGAGGGTTTTGTACCACTAATGAACTTTGATTTAATAGCCATAGATTGTTTTCATTTTTTTAAACTTGGCCTGAAATAATGCAATCCATCAGAAATTCATCTACTTGGTAGGAAAGAAATTTGTAAAAGATGGATGGTTTTTGAATGGACAAGAATATTTCCCTCCTCCTTTTTTTAAAATGGGGCACAATAATTATGCATTTAATATCACAATCTTAATAGACAACATGATCTACTAATTTAAAAGTATATTTTTGAAAGCAAATAATGAAAATAGATATTGGTAAACACTACATTAAATCATGGGTTTGAAAACTGTGAAAACTGAAAAATGTGTAAGCAAAATGTGGTGCCATGTCCTGATGTTGTTTCAGAGCCCATACAATATATTATCATTTATCTTATGGCTTCAACAGTTAAGCACTTCCCTATTAAATAATACTATGTTATATGCAATATTATTTCTGTTTTATATATGTCCCACTAATTTCTCACAAATACAGTGAAAAAATCTCACAAAGTTTGACCAAATATCACCAAGTTTGACCAAATATCACCAAGTTTGACAAAATATCACCAAGTTTGACCAAATATCACCAAGTTTTCACTGATCTCACTATTTTGCATCGGAAAGTTATGGCAAGTTGCCGTAAGTGACCTTAGCTGTTGATAGGACGTTAAACCCTATTATACCAAACATTCAACAGTTAAGTGATCCTTTTCATTTTGGAAGACCATGGTCTGCTTGCGTGTCACAACTATCTACGATACTAGTACCTCATTGGCTTTGTGTATAGACAGGTTCCGGAGACAAGCCACCGCTGCCACAAGTGTGTCCTTGTGTCCTGTCCTCAGCACCTTCTGTAAGCGTGGCAATGCCCCGTATTTCACAATCAGGGGTTGGTTATTACCTGAAAAGTGACAGTGTAACATGTTAATGGCCAGCTTCAGGTCAGGTGAGCTACAAAGTTAAGGATTGTGACAAAACTCAGGGATGATTGGTGGATGGAAACAATTAGTGTTGGTCGTATTATGATTGAGGAACTTTCGTTTTATTGCAGTTTGACTGAAACTGAGGGAAATACATGAAACATTGATTTGCGAGACGTACAAGGTAACTACATGTACTGTTTTAACAAGACTAAAGTTGCCAACCATGCAACAAGTTCAGCAGCAGGATAATAAAAGAAAGGAAGTTGTATATTTCATATCATTTTCCAAAATAATTTTTTGTTGGATGGTCAACAAAACAACAAGGGAGGTAATTCAGTCAAACAGGGATTTGAGCAGAACCCAGTGATTAGTAGACCCCTAAAAGGAGGAGTTCTGTCTCATAATCAGTAACTGTAATGATTGGTTCACCTAATGGCAAATCAATGCAAATGAGAACACCTGTAATGGTTTGAGTAAAATGGAGAGTCATGGAATCAGATGGTATCTAAGTAATTTACAGAGTTATGTCTATATGAAATTTTAGACAAAATCTTAAACTTACCATCAGAAGCGAGATTCCTCAAGGCAAGACACGCCTGACATTGTACCTAAAAAACAATTAAAACATCCAGGTGTTCACAGCCTGATCAGACACTACAACACAACACTCTAATCCAATACATTCAACATTTTGAAATTCAAAACTAAAATTATATGTAAAGGTATTTAACATTATCATCTAAGAAAATTAAGGCACTCAGAAATACATAAACAATGTAGGCTTTTAAATGTTTCTCAAAACATTGTATTTCAAAAACGACTTGTTAAGCTAACCAGCCTTTTTACGACTTTGCTCAGGTGTTACCGTCAGCCTTGGCTGCACATATATTGCAACACATGATAAACACTGGCTTCACCTTGCAACATGATAAACACTGTGTGATGTCACCATATGTCTAGTTCAATGTTTGCCGTTGGTGGTCATAACCTACAATCTGTGTGTAAACTGGGTATATCATCATGTCTAACATGAGAATTCTGAAATCTGATTAGTCATGACCAACTTTCCAGCCGCAACATTTACAGTCACATTTAAAATTAAGTTTACAGATCCTTTTACAACGCGCTAGCAATGGTTTTAATTAAATATATAAATTTTATAAACTACTCATCACTAACCATTCACCCTTATGTAACTTAAGTAATCTCTACCATGCATTGATGAGGTTGAGTCCATTATGGTCTACAGTGGTGAAAGGGTTAGAACATCTCAAGAAGCACCAACACAGATGTGTATATGGTTAATTTTATATGTCATCTATGTGTCTTAGATATCACAACCAATTTGACTTTGGTTCTTACTGTGTCAAAAGTTATCTTATATCATACATATCTTTCAGTATAACGACTTCCTGTGGCTGATGTTGACATATATTTACCTGACCTATGAACTTACCTTTTCTTCCTTGGCTGATACGAGTCTGATGAGATTTCTAATGACGTCAGTGTGGCCGATGGCGACCATAAGAGCTCTGTGTTTTTCGTTGACAGCGATGTTACTGAGGGAGGCGGCACTGTAGTACTGTATGTCCTGGTCTGGGGACTGGAGGAGGTCAACCAGTACAGGAATCACACCTCCAGCCACTAAATCGTTCCGGTGATTTTCTGCAATCAACAGTGAAATCAAAGCTGTACAAAGTTAATATAATGTACAGGGCCTGTATTCATGAAACTGTTCTCATAATTAATAACAAGAGGCTCACCTGAATATTAAAGCAGTCATAGAAAAATATTCTCATTAAATATTATATTGCACTAAAAATATTTCCCTCGCAAACTTTGTTGGCTCCATCTAAAACTACCAGCAAAATATTATTATAAGATTCTATGCTTTTTTATTCTTCTTCAGAAGTTGCTTGACATATTTTCCCCTGTGACCTTGTAAGTAGGTCAATGTCATTTTCCTTCTCAAATTGGTTAGCTCTATTCCAAAATGCTACCAGCCAAATCTTATGAATCGTTTCCTTTTAGTTCTTGCGAACAAATCCTTTAAAATGTTGTAGACCTCTGTGGCCTCTAAAGTAGGTTGAGGTAATTTTCATTCGCAAACTTTGGTGAGCTCTATCCCAGGAAGTCACCAGCCAAATATTATAATTTTATGAATTTTAATTCTTCAGAAGTAGTTTGAACCGTTTGACATATTTGAACGCTGTGACCTTGAAAGTAAGTCAAGGTCATTTTCATTCGCAAACTTTGTTGGGCTCTTTCCCAGAAAGCTACAAGCCAAATATTTAGGTTCTATAACTTTCAGTTCTTCAGAAGAAGTCGTTTGAAGTGTTTGACACATTTGACCCCTGTGACCTTGAAAGAAGGTCAAGGTCATTTTCATCCTCAAACTTTGCCGGGCTCTATCTCAGGAAGCCATCAATCAAATATAAAGATGCTATACCGTTTAGTTCTTCAGAAGAAGTTGTTGGAAACATTTGACATATTTGACTCCTGTGACCTTGAAAGTAGGTCAAGGTCATTTTCGTTTTCAAACTTTGTTGGGCTCTATCCCAGGAAGCCACCAGCCAAATATAAAGATTCTATACCTTTTAGTTCTTCAGAAGAAGTCGTTTGAAATGTTTGACACATTTGACTCCTGTAACCTTGAAAGTAGGTCAAGGTCATTTTCATTCTCAAACTTAGTCGGTCAACGTCATTCATATGAACAAACTTAGTACCCCTTTATCCCAGCATGCTACTGGCCATATATCATCACCCTATGTCTGTTGGTTGTTAAGAAAAAGTTGAAGAAGATTTTAACACATTTGACCCCTGTGACCTTGAAAGTCGGTCAAGGTAATTTTTTTCGCAAACTTTGTTTGGCTTTTACCAAGGAAGCTACCAGGTAATTCTCATATCTCTAGGCTTTTCTGTATTTCAGAAGATAAGTTGTTTGAAAATTTTGACATATTTCACCCCTATGACCTTGAAAGTAGGTCATTTTTATTCGCAAACTTTGTTCGGCTTATCCCATGGAAGCTACCTTCCAATTGTCATGTCTCTAAACCTTTTTTGTATTTCAGAAGAAGTTGTTTGAATGTTTTTACATATTTGACCCCTGTGATCTTGAAAGTAGGTCAAATTCTGTTTTTTCGCCTCTATGCCTTCTGGTTCTTCAGAAGAAGTCGTTGAAAGGAAAGTTGACCCAGGGTCATTATACTTCCACTGACCCCATGTCTCGGTTGGTTAGAGTGACAGTATAATGATCAGAGATCCAGGATTTGAATTCTGGTCTAGCCCTTTCATGTTTTCACCCCCAAAACAATGTTGTTGATGATTTTTTTTGTTTATTTCACTTTTTTCCTTTTTTTAATTCAAGTCCCACAAGGTATATTTTTTCAGAAATGACTTATCCAAACAATAAAATTGCTGATCAAAGTTTCCAAGTGGTCTAACAGTTGTTGACAGTGGTACAGGGATCCTTAAGTATTTTGACAGTGGTGCAGGGACCCTTAAGTATTTTGACAGTGGTACAGGGATCCTTAAGTATTTTGACAGTGGTACAGGGATCCTTAAGTGTTCTGACAGTGGTGCAGGGACCCTTAAGTATTTTGACAGTGGTACAGGGATCCTAAGTATTTTGACAGTGGTACAGGGATCATTAAGTATTTTGACAGTGGTACAGGGTTCCCTAAGTGTCACAATTAATGTACTTACGTAGGTGAGTAAGGTTTAAAACAGCACCAGCAGCGTTTCTCTGTACCCTCAAATCTTGTGACTTCATCAGCCTAAGTAGAGGATGAATGGCCTGATGTTCAATGATCTGCTGTTTGTTGGCATCTGACAGGAATAGAAAATACAAAAATACTTATAAAACAATTCAGTTATATATTGCATACCGGAATTGTTTGTACTGTCAAACTTTTGCCCTGCGCCTATGAAACCAATTTTTGCTCAGTGCTTATTTTGCCCTTCACAGTTAATTACTATGTCTATAAAGCTGTTAACTTATATTCACCCTTCGCCCATAAAGCCAATTTTTGCTCAGTGCTTATTTTGCCCTTAACAGTTAATTACTATTTCTATTATGCTGTTTACTTATATTCTCTGCAATGATGAATTTGCTGTCATTAAAGAGGGCAAAAGGACGAAAATTTAACTGCATAATAAATAAAAGTGTGTAACAAGTTGAAAGATACCTGTCAGTATATTACACATTTAGATAAATAGAGATTATTGTTGCTATTATATGTAAATATGATAATGTAAGTTGTGTGTACCTGCATATGTGTTACACTAAGTAGACATAAAGGGTTTTTGTAACCATGTAAAATGTACTTACCTGTGAGTTATACTAGTATATGGTATGATTTACATGATGTACCTACCCTTGTGTGACCTGCTGTATAGACGTACCTACCTGTGTGTTACATGGTGTATAGATGTACCTACCTGTGTGTTACATGATGTATAGATGTATCTACCTGTGTGTTACAAGATGTATAGATGTACATACCTGTGTGTTACATGATGTATAGATGTACCTACCTGTGTGTTACATGGTGTATAGATGTACCTTCCTGTGTGTTACATGGTGTATAGATGTACCTACCCTTGTGTGACCTGCTGTATAGATGTACCTACCTGTGTGTTACATGGTGTAAAGATGTACCTATCTGTGTGTTACATGATGTATAGATGTATCTACCTGTGTGTTACAAGATGTATAGATGTACCTACCTGTGTGTTACATGATGTATAGATGTACCTACCTGTGTGTTACATGGTGTATAGATGTACCTTCCTGTGTGTTACATGGTGTATAGATGTACCTACCCTTGTGTGACCTGCTGTATAGATGTACCTACCTGTGTGTTACATGGTGTAAAGATGTACCTATCTGTGTGTTACATGATGTATAGATGTATCTACCTGTGTGTTACAAGATGTATAGATGTACCTACCTGTGTGTTACATGATGTATAGATGTACCTACCTGTGTGTTACATGGTGTATAGATGTACCTTCCTGTGTGTTACATGGTGTATAGATGTACCTACCTGTGTGTTACATGATGTATAGATGTACCTACCCTTGTGTGACCTGCTGTATAGATGTACCTACCTGTGTGTAACATGGTGTAAAGATGTACCTATCTGTGTGTTACATGATGTATAGATGTATCTACCTGTGTGTTACATGATGTATAGATGTATCTACCTGTGTGTTACATGATGTATAGATGTACCTTCCTGTGTGTTACATGGTGTATAGATGTACCTACCTGCGTGTTACACTGTGTATATATGTACCTACCTGTGTGTTACATGGTGTATAGATGTACCTACCTGTTTGTTACATGATGTATAGATGTTCCTTCCTGTGTGTTACCTGCTATATAGATGTACCTACCTGCGTGTTACATTATGTATAGATGTATCTACCTGTGTGTTACATAGTGTATAGATGTACCTATATGTGTGTTACATGATGTATAGATGTACCTACCTGTGTGTTACATGATGTATAGATGTACCTTCCTGTGTGTTACATGGTATATAGATGTACCTACCTGCGTGTTACATGATGTATAGATGTACCTGCCTGTGTGTTACTTGATGTATAGATGTTCCTACCTGCGTGTTACATGATGTATAGATGTATCTACCTGTGTGTTACATGATGTATAGGTGTATAGATGTACCTACCTGCGTGTTACTTGATGTATAGATGTACCTACCTGTGTGTTACATGGTGTATAGATGTACCTACCTGCATGTTACATGATGTATAGATGTACCTACCTGTGTGTTACTTGATGTATAGATGTACCTACCTGCGTGTTACTTGATGTATAGATGTACCTACCTGTGTGTTACCTGCTATATAGATGTACCTACCTGTGTGTTACATAGTGTATAGATGTACCTACCTGTGTTTTACATAGTGTATAGATGTACCTACCTGTGTGTTAACAGCTGTATAGATGTACCTACCTGTGTGTTACCTGCTATATAGATGTACCTACCTGTGTGTTACATGATGTATAGATGTACCTACCTGTGTGTTACATGCTGTATAGATGTACCTACCTGCGTGTTACATGATGTATAGATGTACCTACCTGTGTGTTACCTGGTGTATAGATGTACCTACCTGCGTGTTACATGATGTATAGATGTACCTACCTGTGTGTTACATAGTGTATAGATGTACCTACATGTGTGTTACATGGTGTATAGATGTAACTTCCTGTGTAATACATGATGTATAGATGTACCTACCTGTGTGTTACGTGGTGTATAGATGTACCTACCTGTGTGTTACATGATGTAAAGATGTGCCAGTACCTACCTGTGTGGTAGATTATGTGAAGATGTGCCAGTACCTACCTGTGTGGTAGATTATGTGAAGATGTGCCAGTACCTACCTGTGTGGTAGATTATGTAAAGATGGGCCAGTACCTACCTGTGTGGTAGATTATGTAAAAAGGTGCCAGTACCTACCTGTGTGGTAGATTATGTAACAATTTGTGTCAGTACCTACCTGTGTGGTAGATTATGTAAAAAGGTGCCAGTGCCTACCTGTGTGGTAGATTATGTAAAGATGTGCCAGTGCCTACCTGTGTGGTAGATTATGTAAAGATGTGCCAGTTCCTACCTGTGTGGTAGATTATGTAAAGATGTGCCAGTTCCTACCTGTGTGGTAGATTATGTAAAAAGGTGCCAGTACCTACCTGTGTGGTAGATTATGTAAAGATGTGCCAGTACCTACATGTGTGGTAGATTATGTAAAGATGTGCAAGTACCTACCTGTGTGGTAGATTATGTAAAGATGTGCCAGTACCTACCTGTGTGGTAGATTATGTAAAAAGGTGCCAGTACCTACCTGTGTGGTAGATTATGTAAAGATGTGCCAGTACCTACCTGTGGTGGCTAGAGTTGTGATACATCCTGCAGTATTACATTGGACGTCTGTATTACTCGACTGAAGTAGACACACTAGGGCCTCTACTCCTCCACATGTTCCAATAGTGGCCTTGTTTGAATCTAGGACAAAAGTGGTCAAAAAGATATAAATCTTCTCAATTCATCTATTTTCATCAAGAATTGATGTTTTTTATAAAGGGGTATTATGCAACAAGTAAACCTTGCAAAGCTGAGTCAGGAATTAAAGAGAAATGTTCAATGTTGTTTGCAAGGTGGCTGATTTCAGACACTATACTGTTTTATATATATAGACCATGAGGTGTGAAAACATAATGCGTCAACACCAGACACAAGAATAATGTCATGAAAAGACAGGTAGGCTGTGCCTCTACTTGGAAATGATGGACAAGGGGAGAAAACCCCAGCTTACAGTCAAAGTTGTTTCAGCCTAATTATATGTAGTTTATAAGCTTTTCAAGATAAGATATCACATTTATTTCAAACAGATATTTTACAGTTTTTTACATTTCAAGACATATTTACTTTATGAATCGGTGAAAGCGGGTTGTGTGTTGATAGCTCCGCTAATTTCTATAAAATATCTAAAGATGCTACAGCATCTAATAAGAAAACACAGTCTTCAGCATCTTTGCATTAACTCATACAACCTTGAACTTTCATAATGAACTATTCCAACCTTTAAATTGGAAGAGTTCAAATGTGTCTTCAGGGTTGAATAAGTTGATACATGTTTTAGTGGACAGATATATATGGTGATGAAGTGTACCTGGGCCTTGGAGGGTGAAGTTGCTCACTGCCAGCGTCGCTGATTTCTGTACCTGGAGGTCTCGAGACCTAAGGAGCTTAACTAACGGCTTTGCCACGGGAATGGTTAGTGGGGCTTTAGCTGAATAATAACAGAGACACACAATGAGACTGGACACAGCATATACTCAGTCAGAGATCAAAGCTATATTAAAATGTGCTTATCTAGCTACCTCACAGCACTATTCTGACATTGGTCTATATCTTACTTTTCTCACTGATATCAGTGAAGCACAGCACTGCTGATTTATCATGTTCTACTATCTTTGTACACCATTCTATTACTTACTTCTCTCACTGATCTCAGTAAAGCACAGCGCTGCTGATTTATCATGTTCTACTATCTTTGTTCACCATTCTATTACTTACTTCTCTCACTAATCTCAGTAAAGCACAGCACTGCTGATTTATCATGTTCTACTATCTTTGTACACCATTCTGTTACTTACTTCTCTCACTGATCTCAGTAAAGCACAGCGCTGCTGATTTATCATGTTCTACTATCTTTGTACACCATTCTATTACTTACTTCTCCCGACACTGATATCAGTAAAGCACAGCGCTGCTATCATATCCTACTATCTTTGTACACCATTCTATTACTTACTTCTCTAACTGATCTCAGTAAAGCACAGCACTGCTGATTTATCATGTTCTACTATCTTTGTACACCATTCTGTTACTTACTTCTCGCACTGATCTCAGTAAAGCACAGAGCTGCTATCATGTTCTACTATCTTTGTACACCATTCTATTACTTCCTTCTCTCACTGATCTCAGTAAAGCACTGCACTGCTATCATGTTCTACTATCTTTGTACACCATTCTATTACTTACTTCTCTCACTGATATCAGTAAAGCACAGTGCTGCTGATTTATCGTGTTCTACTTTCTTTGTACACCATTCTGTTACTAACTTCTCTCACTGATCTCAGTAAAGCACAGCACTGCTATCATGTTCTACTATCTTTGTACACCATTCTATTACTTACTTCTCTCACTGATCTCAGTAAAGCACAGCGCTGCTATCATGTTCTACTATCTTTGTACACCATTCTGTTACTTACTTCTCTCACTGATCTCAGTAAAGCACAGCGCTGCTGATTTATCATGTTCTACTATCTTTGTACACCATTCTGTTACTTACTTCTCTCACTGATCTCAGTAAAGCACAGCGCTGCTGATTTATCATGTTCTACTATCTTTGTACACCATTCTGTACTTTCTTCTCTCACTGATCTCAGTAAAGCACAGCTGCTGATTTATCATGTTCTACTATCTTTGTACACCATTCTATTACTTACTTCTCTCACTGATCTCAGTAAAGCGTCAGCTGCTGATTTATCATGTTCTACTATCTTTGTACACCATTCTGAACTTTCTTCTCTCACTGATTTCAGTAAAGCACAGCTGCTGATTTATCATGTTCTACTTTCTTTGTACACCATTCCATTACCTACTTCTCTCGACACTGATCTCAGTAAAGCACAGCGCTGCTGATTTCTGTAGTTCAACGTTGTCGGAGTAAGCCATTATACTAAGGGCCCTGACATGTTCCTCATTCAATACAGGTTCACCATTAGCTTCTGTCAAGTGAGAAAAACATTTTGGTGATACTTCCTGTTATGATACATGGATAACTTCCTGTTTTGATACATGTACCTTCGTGTTATAATTCCTGTAACATCCTGTTATTATACCTGTAACTTCCTCTATTACTTACTTCTCTCACTGATCTCAGTAAAGCACAGCACTGTTATCGTGTTCTACTATATTTGTACACCATTCTATTACTTACTTCTCTCACTGATCTCAGTAAAGCACAGCGCTGCTGATTTCTGTAGTTCAACGTTGTCGGAGTAAGCCAATATACTAAGGGCCCTGACATGTTCCTCATTCAATACAGGTTCACCATTAGCTTCTGTCAAGTGAGAAAAACATTTTGGTGATATTTTGTGTTCTACAATAGATGTTTCTGTATATTCCTGTTATAAGACCTTTGACTTTCTGTTATAATACATGGATATTCTTATTACAATACCTGTAAATATCTGCTTTAGTACATGTACTTGAATCATCTTGTTATAATAGCTTATAGATGTACCTGTACATTTCTGCTAATCTACCTGTAACCTCCTATTATGATACCTGTAACTTCCTGTTTTGATACCTGTTACTTCCTGTTATGATACCTGTCACAAACTTGTATAAATCCTGTAACTTCCTTTTATATTATCTATAAATTCCTGTTGTGATACCTATAACCTTCTTGTTGTCATACCTGTAACTTTCTTTTATAATATCTGTAACTTTCTGTTATAATATTTATCATTTCCTGTTATTATACATATAACTTCCTGTTATTATATCTGTAACTTCCTGTTATAATACCTGTTATTTTCTGTTATTAAACCTGTAACATCCTGATATGATACATGGATAACTTCCTGTTTTGATACATGTAACTTCCTGTTATAATTCCTGTAACATCCTTTTATTATACCTGTTACTTCCTGTTATAATACATATAACTTCCTGTTTTGATACATGTAACTTCCTGTTGTAATTCCTGTAACATCCTTTTATTATACCTGTTACTTCCTGTTATAATACATATAACTTCCTGTTTTGATACATGTAACTTCCTGTTATAATTCCTGTAACATCCTTTTATTATACCTGTTACTTCCTGTTATAATACATATAACTTCCTGTTTTGATACATGTAACTTCCTGTTGTAATTCCTGTAACATCCTTTTATTATACCTGTTACTTCCTGTTATAATACATATAACTTCCTGTTTTGATACATGTAACTTCCTGTTATAATTCCTGTAACATCCTTTTATTATACCTGTTACTTCCTGTTATAATACATATAACTTCCTGTTTTGATACATGTAACTTCCTGTTGTAATTTCTGTAACATCCTGTTAATATACCTGTAACTTCCTGTTATGATACATGCATAACTTCCTGTTTTGATACATGAAACTTCCTGTTATAATACCTGTTACTTCCTGTTATAATTCATGCAACATACTGTTTTTATACCTGTAACTTCCTGTTATGATACATGGATAACTTCCTGTTTTGATACATGAAACTTTCTGTTATAATACATGTAACATCCTGTTACTATACCTGTAACTTCCTTTTATAATACATGAAACTTTCTGTTATAATACAATGTCATGTAACTTCCTGTTATAATTCCTGTAACATCCTGTTATTATACCTGTAAGTTCCTGTTATGATACATGAAAAACTTCCTGTTTTGATACATGTAACTTCCTGTTATAATACCTGTTACTTCCTGTTTTAATTCCTGCAACATACTGTTTTTATACCTGTAACTTCCTGTTATGATACATGGATAACTTCCTGTTTTGATACATGAAACTTTCTGTTATAATACATGTAACTTCCTGTTATAATTTCTGTAACATCCTGTTATTATACCTGTAACTTCCTGTTATGATACATGTATAACTTCCTGTTTTGAAACATATAACTTCCTGTTATAATTCCTGTAACATCCTTTTATTATACCTGTAACTTCCTGTTATAATACATGTACATGTAACTTCCTGTTTTGATACATGTAACTTCCTGTTATAATTCCTGTAACATCCTGTTATTATACCTGTAACTTCCTGTTATGATACATGCATAACTTCTTGTTTTGATAAATGTAACTTGCTGTTATAATACATGTAACATCCTGTTATTATACCTGTAGCTTCCTGTAATGATACATGTATAACTTCCTGTTTTTGATACATGTAACTTCCTCTTATAATTCCTGTAACATCCTGTTATTATACCTGTAACTTCCTCTTATAATACATGTATCTTTCTGTTTTGATACATGTAACTTCCTGTTATAATTTCTGTAATACCTGTTATTATACCTGTAACTTCCTGTTATGATACATGTATAACTTCCTGTTTTGATACATGTAACTTCGTGTTATAATTCCTGTAACATCCTGTTATTATACCTGTAACTTCCTGATATACGGGAACCATATACAGTGACTCAATTATCAGCAATTTTCTGAAAAAAAAGCTGAATAATACTTGGCTAATACTTTATTTAATTATTAGTCTGTTAAATACTGTATATGTTTATCTTCAAATCAACAGTGTTACATGTATATAGTAAATCTTATAACAGGTGTTGTCTCTTCTGTAATAACAGCAGATGGAAGTAATCATGTATGTTCACAGTGAAAAAGAAAGAAAAGTAAGCAATGTAATATTACCATGCTCTAGATAATGTAGGAGGTTGCCAACAGCCTGTCTCTCACTCTCCAGTAAAATCATTTCATAGCTATCATCGACCAGGCCGCCAGTCTGTTGTGGTAACGGGATACATCCACAGGAAAGACAGCAGAGACAATACTCTAACAGGCTTCGTAATAGCTGGATCAACTCCTCCAGGACATCGGTTTTGTCTGTGGATACTGATCGTTCTATCTTTATCTCAAACTGTTGGTCCATCGAGCCTAATGACTGAAATATAATAAAAAAAATCATTGTTTAACATTCCAATCCGGGTATAATTTTCACAAAGCTGTCAAACCTCCCTCTTTAGGAGGGAAACTCCCTCATTTTGACCAAAATTTACCAATCTCCTTAGAAACTCCCTCATTTTGACCAAAATTTACCTATCTCCCTAGAAACTCCCTCATTCAAGTCCAAATTATCACAAACTCAAAAGCTATATCCTTTGGTCAGATGATCTCCTAGTTATATTACTGCAGGGTGGGTGTAATAATCACAACAGGTGTGTCTGAATCAAATGAATGCTTTTTGGAGTTATTTTGATACAAAAAAAGGGAAAGATAAATTGAGAAAAGCAATGTCAGTCGCATTTCATGCACTTTCTTTTATAGCAACTTCCCTTTTAGTCAGACCTCGGGAATCTGACTACTGGGCTACTGAACTGTAAGACATTTATTATTAGACTGAAGTACGATTATTTTATACAGAGACTATTTACATTAATGGGTCAATGTTTGTTCGTGTCATGGTCAATAACCTCCATTTTTACACCATGTTTATATGATACCTTCAAAACATACAGATTGGTCAAACAAGATGTTATCTTATTAGTATGCGACACTCCACTACTGTATACTGGGAAATTTCACTGCTATTTAATTTTCACCTTTTTCACCCTCCATAATGAGGGTAAATTTATCATTAGACATTACAGCGAATCTTAGTAAACAGGATGATATACAAAGTAGTTCAATGTGACAGGCGAAATTAAAACTGGGTGATTATTGATTTTATTGGCGAAGGGTGAAAATTTCCCTGTCTACAGTATCCGAAGAAGTACGTATACTTGTACTCGCATACAAAAATTGGAAGATGAATGTGGAAGATTTATAATACATGTACGAGGGACATAAACACCTCAAACAAACAAAGTGATGTGTTGACTGACTTACAGTCCCCTCTGATAATCATCCTCATTGTTATGCTCACTCACTTTCACCTGAAATTGGAAGGTACACAATTAGCTTTTTGACCAGTTTCAGGTGTACCAAGTAATAGCGACGGGAAAATGCAGTCAGACCAGGATTCAAACCAAGGACCCTCCAAACCTTAGATGGACGCTCTACCAACTGAGCTTCCTGGTTGCTGACAATTGACCACCCAGTTTGGTTCTGCTATGTTCCTCCCTCCTTTTTGAAGTCTTTGCCCCCTAGCTATAAGTTCTCACTTAGTGCTTATATTTAAAACAAGGGTTGACAATTCAAGCTCATCAGTTTTGTAAATCGCATTAAATTTTGGTCTCTGTGGAGTATAACATGTAGATAGATAGGAGCAGAAAAATGCACAACCAGACCAGGATTCAAACACAGGACATGTACACTCTAAACTATTAAGCCAGATGCTCTATTAATTGAGCTACATGTTTGCCGACAATTAATGCAGTCCAGTTTTGCTACAGAGGTGAAAACATTAACCCATGGCTGGGATGATACCTGTCTTTCGCGTTTTACAGAGGAGTAACATCCGACTTCAAAGCAAGTCAATTTTACTGTAAGGCAGCCATAATTCTTTGGATGAACATCAAAGGATCAAACAAGCCTACTTGTACCATTCACATGGTGGCGCATTCACAGCCTTCAATGACATATTGCAGGGTACAGAGAANCGCAGAAAAATGCACACCCAGACCAGGATTCAAACACAGGACATGTACACTCTAAACTATTAAGCCAGATGCTCTATTAATTGAGCTACATGTTTGCTGACAATTAATGCAGTCCAGTTTTGCTACAGAGGTGAAAACATTAACCCATGGCTGGGATGATACCTGTCTTTCGCGTTTTACAGAGGAGTAACATCCGACTTCAAAGCAAGTCAATTTTACTGTAAGGCAGCCATAATTCTTTGGATGTACATCAAAGGATCAAACAAGCCTACTTGTACCATTCACATGGTGGTGCATTCACAGCCTTCAATGACATATTGCAGGGTACAGAGAACAAAGTGAGCTTAACCTATGGAATTTCAAGGATGTCTAGTTAATATGGTGGGGGAATAATAACCCCACACATTATGTATGTTTATGTATGCAAATATGCTCCCTACATTGGAGGAACCATCCTCGGTACCCCAGAGGTTACGCTCGCTTCCGTTCTCTGCACCTCTTAAATATGTCCTAGCAAAATCGAAGGAATGAGTGACTTGCGCCACCTTGTGGATGAGACAAGACTAGTTTGATATTTTGATGTACATCAAAAGAATCGCTTGGTTGCATAAGGTAAAATTGATTGGTTTTGAAGTTGGGTGTCACTCTTCTGTAATCTTAAAAGGCCCAGGTATAGTATCGTCAGACATATCAAATTGCTATAGCTGCATGCCTTCAATTGCCCTATGACATATTCCATGGGTGCAGCGAGCGAGTGAACATATATATATATAGCCCCTGGAGTATTGAGGGTGGAAAGGAAAAAAACAGAGGGTGGAAAGGAACAAAACAGAGGATGGGAAGGAACAAAACAGAGGATGGAAAGGAACAAAACAGGATGGAAAGGAACAAAACAGAGGAATTGGAAAGGAACAAAACAGAGGATGGGAAGGCTCAAAACAGAGGATGGGAAGGCTCAAAACAGAAGATAGGAAGGAACAAAACAGAGGATGGAAAGGAACAAGAGGCCCAATGGGCCTGCATCGCTCACCTGGTATTAATCTCACAATTGTAACCTTAAAAGAGGACTAAAATAAAGCTACAGTCAAAATATCAGCGTCTTGACTTAAAGTTTAAAGTAATTCAGAAAAATTTGGCAAAGGTCATTCATTTGAACAAACTTGGTAGCCCTTCATCCCAGCATGTTACTGGCCAAATATCATCATCCTAGGCCTCTTGGTTATTCAGAAGAAGTCGTTTAAAGGTTTTAAACATATTTGACCCTTGTGACCTTGAATATAAATCAAGGTCATTTATTTGAACAAACTTGGAAGCCCTTCATCTCAGCATGTTACTGGCCAAATATCATCACCCTAGGCCTCTCAGTTATTTAGGGGAAGTCGTTTAAAGGTTTTAAACATATTTGACCCCAGTGACCTTGAATATAAATCAAGGTCATTTATTTGAACAAACTTGGTAGCCCTTCATCCCAGCATGTTACTGGCCAAATATCATCACCCTAGGCCTCTCGGTTATTCAGAAGAAGTCGTTTAAAGGTTTTAAACATATTTGACCCCAGTGACCTTGAATATAAATCAAGGTCATTTATTTGAACAAACTTGGTAGCCCTTCATCCCAGCATGTTACTGGCCAAATATCATCACCCTAGGCCTCTCGGTTATTCAGAAGAAGTCGTTTAAAGGTTTTAAACATATTTGACCCCAGTGACCTTGAATATAAATCAAGGTCATTTATTTGAACAAACTTGGTAGCCCTTCATCCCAGCATGTTACTGGCCAAATATCATCACCCTAGGCCTCTCGGTTATTCAGAAGAAGTCGTTTAAAGGTTTTAAACATATTTGACTCCAGTGACCTTGAATATAAATCAAGGTCATTTATTTGAACAAACTTGGTAGCCCTTCATCTCAGCATGTTACTGGCCAAATATCATCACCCTAGGCCTCTTGGTTATTCAGAAGAAGTTGTTTAAAGATTTTAACATATTTGACCCATGTGACCTTGAAAATGGTTGAAGGTCATTTATTTGAACAAACTTGGTAGCCCTTCATCCCAGCATGCTTCTGGCCAAATATCATTACCCTAGCCCTTTTGGTTACTGAGAAGAAGTTGTTTAAAGTAAAAAGTTGAAGCCGGACGGACGACGGACGGACGACGGACGGACGACGGACGACGCACCATGCCATAAGCTCACTTGGCCCTTCGAGCCAGGTGAGCTAACAAAACAGAGGATGGGAAGGAACAAAACAGGATGGAAAGGAACAAAACAGAGGATGGAAAGGAACAAAACAGAGGATGGAAAGGAACAAAACAGAGGATGGAAAGGAACAAAACAGAGGATGGAAAGGAACAAAACAGAGGATGGAAAGGAACAAAACAGAGGATGGAAAGGAACAAAACAGAGGATGGAAAGGAACAAAACAGAGGATGGAAAGGAACAAAACAGAGGATGGAAAGGAACAAAACAGAGGATGGAAAGGAACAAAACAGAGGATGGAAAGGAACAAAACAGAGGATGGAAAGGAACAAAACAGAGGATGGAAAGGAACAAAACAGAGGATGGAAAGGAACAAAACAGAGGATGGAAAGGAACAAAACAGAGGATGGAAAGGAACAAAACAGAGGATGGAAAGGAACAAAACAGAGGATGGAAAGGAACAAAACAGAGGATGGAAAGGAACAAAACAGAGGATGGAAAGGAACAAAACAGAGGATGGAAAGGAACAAAACAGAGGATGGAAAGGAACAAAACAGAGGATGGAAAGGAACAAAACAGAGGATGGAAAGGAACAAAACAGAGGATGGAAAGGAACAAAACAGAGGATGGAAAGGAACAAAACAGAGGATGGAAAGGAACAAAACAGAGGATGGAAAGGAACAAAACAGAGGATGGAAAGGAACAAAACAGAGTGTGGAAAGGAACAAAACAGAGGGTGGAAAGGAACAAAACAGAGTGTGGAAAGGAACAAAAAAAGGATGGAAAGGAACAAAACAGAGGATGGGAAGGAACAAAACAGAGGATGGGAAGGAACAAAACAGAGTGTGGAAAGGAACAAAACAGAGGATGGGAAAGAACAAAACAGAGTGTGGAAAGGAACAAAAAGGAACAAAACAGAGTGTGGAAAGGAACAAAAAAAGGATGGAAAGGAACAAAACAGAGGATGGGAAGGAACAAAACAAAGGATGGGAAGGAACAAAATATCAAGCTATAATATAAAAATGACTGTTTATGAGTAAAACATCCATTTGAGTAGCTTAATTTAAGTGTTTCCATATATAAACTGGCACAAGATTGAAGCTTGCAGATAACAATGTGTGTTTATATATATATGAGAATAAATAAC